GCATTGAAGGACATATAAAGCGGAAAAAGGCGACAATACTTACGGTTTTTGTAATAGATTACAGAAGTTATAATTTAAAAACGCAACTAATAACTACTACGATTTCTTTTCTTAAGGATAAACTTATGATCTAAAACTCAAGGAAAGGTTCAAAGAAAAGCAATTTCACAAAAATATTTTTTTGTCTTCCTCTTTATTTCAACATTATTTTTTTCCCTACTGATAAGATTCGTTATTCAAGTTATTCAAGCAATCAAACTTACAACTACCTGGGATAGAAGGAAGAGGTTATAAAAAAAGGAGATTACGATTAAAACACTGTAATCTATTACAAAAACCGTAAGTATTGTCGCCTTTTTCCGCTTTATATGTCCTTCAATGCCTTTGTGTTATAGGTCGTTGAATTCGTTTTAAGATTCTCTATCATGATACGGAAGCAAAAATGTACCGATCCATTTAAAAAATTGGCGGTGACCTTAGTGTAGCTTCAGCGCCTCTACCAGTAAAAATATAAAGTGCGCCAGTATGGCGGCCCTCTCAAATACTGAAACTTTTTTATGAAACATTTTTTCGTACGACGAACACCTTACGAGTTATTTGAGGTCGTCATGTTAGGAAACTCACCCTGTATACATAGAATAATTCAAACCCGTCGCGTATTCATCGCATTCTATCGTTCGATATTTTGATCCTTAGGAATGGAACATCGTAAATTCAAAAAATAATGGAACTGAAGTGACCGGCGTTATCGGCGAGATTTGGAATACATTATCAGAATACTTGAATTTCACGTAAATGAACGACTTTCACGTGAAATCAGCGATACGTATAAAAATTACGGGGACATAAATGATTCCAGATTAAAACCGATTAAATCGGACGAGACGGCTCTAGGAACAAGGGATGCCAATAACACTTACAACTTCGGATTGCTAAGTGTGATAAAAAAAAATGAAACGGACGTATTACCGAGGGTTGAAATCACTAGCAGCCTTCGAGCTCAAATCATGCAAATCACCGTTCCGTTATGGAAAATTGGGCAAGTTGAAACGGTTCAAAAATGATTTCGTTCCAAATAATGTCAATTACTTTTTAAGTTCGATGATACCAAAAAGAAAGCCGAGATTACATATGCAAGCAAAAACTGATATGAATGAATTCTTGTTTGCAGTCATAAATTGTATATACATCAAAAAGTGACACACGTGTATAGTTGGATGTTGAATTTGTTCACCCCGAAGGTATGGTACGCCGTTCTGATAATCTACATCCTTTTCTGCGTGTGCAATCATTTATCACAAAGAATCAATGTAAAATTCTTACGGAAAAAGCCGAGAGTGAAGCTGCAGGACTCCTTCTTCTACAATTTCGGCATGATTTGCGGTCAAAGTAAAAGAACTGAAAATTAAAATCAGACGAAGTTAAAATTCGAACTTCCGATCGCAGCTCGAACAAAGAATAAATTCTAAATCTTTGTTACAGGCTATCTACCAGGTGGTATATGCAGAAGCTCTAAAATCGTTGAATTATGGTTAGGACTATTTTCTTTGATAATTCGAACCGCTTTCGGCGCTCTTCTAATAAGGTGTTTGACTCAGACCACTTTTACGATCCCCTTCCATGATATGAGGTCTTTGCTGGAGAATAGTCAATACAATATTCTTACTCTAAACGGTTCTCTACCGCAGCTGGCTATGTCGGTACGAGGCTAACGATTTTTAACTATTTTCAACGAAAAAATATAGTAGAACCTCGATTATCCGTCCGGGGGACAAGTGACAATCCCGTTCGGATAATCGCCGCCCGCTACGTACGGACGACTGACCCTATACTCTATTTCCCGAGTGACTAGGAGTCGGCACGGTTCAGTTTTCGGTCGTTCTGCGCATCTCCCATCCATATTTACCACTTCCCAATACATCAGATCTCCGTTCTGACTTCACGCGGTATCATACGATACAACATATAGAGCGTACTGTTTTGACAGTTATTGAAAAGTATCAACATTTATATTTTGCGCAACATTGAACATTAGTATCGTAATTATTACATGTTTCATTGAATCCTTGTAAATATTAAATATTTGACTATTTCTTATCCACGTGTATAATTCTCTATCCTGCCTATTCATCCTTCTTATTGTCCTACCGTGTATAATGAACCGTGGTCGGTGAGGCGGCGATTAACGCATGGTGGGAGGTCCGAGACGTTCGCTGCGGCCCCCACCACCTTTCAAGCTGCGCGGAAGGCTTCTAGCCACTCGGGAAATAGAGAATAGGCGTGCTGTCGGTACGGTAAACAGAGCGGAACTTCCGCCAGAATGAGCATAAGCCGTCGATAAAGACGGAATATATAGTTCCACACTTAATAAAAATCGAAATATATGAATACATAAATACCGGAC